AGCACAAGCAGTATCTCAGGTCATATGTGCAGTATGCTGAAAAGGTTTGCCAAGTACTGCCGTTTTTAATTTTTTTTTCTGGTAAAGGCTTTTTCTTAAAACATGCAGAGAGCTATGCCTTAGGCTCTGGAAAATTGTGGAGCCTTTAGAGTCATTCTGTGTTTCCCCACACATCCACATCCATTCCCTTTCAGGTTTGTATTAATCAACAGCAGAAAAGTGTGTCACACAGTTTAAAAGCTACTGTACTTAGAAGAGAAAGCAACACAGAATGCCACATGAGATCTATTTTAGAATATTGAACCTGCAAACATATGTGTTTTGTAAAATAATTAGGAAAAAGTAGTACAAAATTACATTATAATTTATCCTAACCGAGACCAATGTGTATTCTAAAAGCTGTTTATTTTAGAAATACTTTGGTGGTTCCATTAGAGATGAGAGTATAGCTTGTGTCATCAGTTTTTCCAAGTGTGTGCATGGGGCAGTGTAGCTACTTCAGAAAGGAGAAGCAGGTTGTATTTTTGATTCCTGAAGAGCAAGAAACAAAAATCCACCATTTTAAAATAAGAGGCATAATATGCTTTTTGACTTCCAGAAAAATGATATGAAGAGTGTGGTCAGCTGTTTGGCATTGGAAGTAAGATTTTTCTGAACATTCACTTTCTCTTTTTGAAACCACAGCTCGATGATGACTGTAAAGATTAGGATATGGAGCTCCCTCTCCCCATTTTTTGCCTTTGGTTATTTTGTCCTAGCTTATGGAAAGAAGTGTGGACAGAAGCTAGTGCTCATGTGGCAAGGAGTCTCGCCCATGGGCACAGATTTAAAGGCAAAGATGGAACTCCTCAATAGAGCTGAGCTTGTTGCTTAACTGGTATGCATGTGGTGGAGAAACCAGAAAATGTTACCTTTTTTCCTCATTTTGGGCTGGCAACTCTGTCTCTTCTCTCTAACAGTTTAGGGTGTCCCCCACCCACTTCTTTACTCTCCAGAAAGTAATTCTTATTTTTAATTCCAGGAAAGTTGGAGTTATGTTGCAGGTTCCAAGTTCAACTGTGGTTTTAAATAGTACTGACAATTGGAAAAGTTTTCCTTAATTGTAGAGATGAGTAGCTCCTACTTCTTGTTTGCAGTAGCAGTGTGTTGGCACAAATTTCTTCAGCCTTTCAAAGCCCAGCCTCACACATTTATTTATCTTGTCACCTCTTTCTTCTTGTGTATTTCTGGAGAGAGGGGAGCAGGAAGTGATTGTATCGGCAATCATCTTCCATGGTTTTCTTGGACGCGCTTCATAAAAAAAATTATTCCAACTTCACGCATGAGTAAAAATAAATATCTCTTCAGATATAGCTATCAAATTGAATGTGAGTGTCTTCTGAATCAGAGAAATAGTACAGATAATCTGAACTTGGTCTCCTAGACCTGAGGGTTGGCTTGGTGGACAGTATTGTGGCCTCTAAGGGGGATGCATTCATTATGCCTATTGAAGGTGGAAGGATGTTCACTGTTGTGCTTGATTGAGCTCAGGAGAGGGGTATTGTGATGCTTTATACTTGGGGTTGAGCCTTAAATGTGGAAATGTGTTTCCTTATTCTTCTTTTGAACGAGAAGTGCTGATGTTTGAGTAGAATAAATTCCCTAGTTTCTAGAGGTCTTTGTGACAGCATGTGTCTTCCATTTGTTATTAGATAGCTTTATAGTTGTAATTGTTTTTTAAATGGTTTTGATAGGATGCTTATATTCTTGCATAAGGGCAAAAACTACTTCTGCTTCTAAAATAGGTTCTGGTCCAAAACAATTCCTCATGAAGCATATTGCTTTTTTAGCATCTAAAAAGGCTGGCAATACAGCTTTGAAAGGTTAGTGGTCTAAATTTTCTTCTTTTTTTTTTTTTCCTCAAAATTTGGATAATTTGTTACATTTGTTTGTGAACCTACAATAAAAAATAACTATTTCGTTCTTACTAAATATTTTGGATAGAGTAGCATTATTGTAGGATCATGAAAAATGCTTTTGGTTTTGAGATCGGAAGAGTTTGCTGATCAAAGAGAGAATTGCCCTGTCTCTTTCTTTCTTCTGAAACATTTATGGGGGTTTTCTTCCTCATTTTCTGAGACCAAGGACACTGTTCTCTAAACTTGCTAATGGGATCAAATCAACCTAATATGGAGCATGACATTTGATAATAAAGTTGATTGCTTACACCCGCCTTTGATTGGAGCAGGCTTAGTGGTCATTTGGAATATACTGAGCACAAATGTAGCTTATACCATTTCATCTTGGCTGCTTCTCAAGTTCAGCTTGGTACAATGCAGCCCTTGTGCTATTGTAAAGTCTTTGCTGAACATCTCCTCCTGTATTTATCTACTATGTAAGCACTTGATTTTTTTAGGATTTTAGCCAAACAATCTTTTAAAAGTCAAGAAAATTGGCATATTTAACACTGTTCATTTGTTACTGTGTTACGCTTGCATAACAACTTTAATTTTCACCATTTCCTTTGCTAGATTACAGTGGTCCTCAGTTTGTCCCAGTGGTTCTGCTGTTGGCCTCCAAAGAGAGTTAAAATCTCCTACCAAAGCCTTTCGTGTGCATCTGAAATGCCACATTCAGTCAGTAACCCAAAACTGAATGTCTTTTTTTTATTTCATTTGTGGATGGTCTTACTTTTCCTCCTCTTCTCCCCTGCCCCAAATGAAAAACAGGAGAGGCGAGGACTAAAGATATTAGATTTAATTTGCTGCATCCTTGCTTAACTACCACCAGAATTTCTGGGCATGGTAGCAAGAGTTGAAAGTGCTTTGCTCCATTACTAATGCTTCTGGTAACTCTTGGTGATGCTCTTGTAAAATATGCTAGTGCTCTATTTTTTGTGATACAGTAATGCAAGAAGTGGATAAGGTAAAAGAGAAACTTAAATACAGAAGCAGAAATTTCTGAGGTGTTAAAAGGGCAAGAAGCATGTACAGAAGTTTGTGCTTCTTTATAAGCAAAAGCTTTGTTCTGAAATACTGCAAGTGCCTCAAGCAGTAGAGGTCTAGTCCACAGAACATGAAAGTTGTGTGTTAGTAAATATTAAGAGTGTAGACCCCAGTAATGACTAAAATACAGTTCTTCCGCTTTGCAATAGTAATGATTAATGTGCACCTAGTAGCATTAGAGCTTTTTCTGATAATTATTGATTGCTTTTTAAGTACAGGGCAAATAGTCAAATACTCAAAGTAATTTTAATGATGAAAATTAAGATTTAAATTCATAGTCCCAACTGAAAAGTTGAAAAATCAGGCTTCAGATTGTCTGCTTAAATGCACTTTTACCATAATTCATTGTCAGCTGAAATTTGTATGTTATGAGGCTAAGTACTGTATTCTGCACAACGCAATTGTTATGCTTCTTTCTTTTGCAGCTCCAGATAAAAGCCTTTGCTCCTTTGCTTCTACTCAAATCTTTGAAAAATTAAGTCAGTTGTTACCATTCTGAATGTTTAACTGTGGATGGCTCATGTGCCATGAATTATTGGTTCGGGAACTATAGAAGTGTTCCCCTTGACTGCTCTGCTGATGGCTTTATTCTGTTGTTATGGCTGAGTCTGTGCTGCTCAGTTGGAATACATTTGTGCTGTTGACTTTGGGGAAGTCTGTAGGTTCAAATTTGTGGTGAGAAACTCTTGAACTAATGCTACACTGCTCAGAAAGCCAATTTTAAGTTGATGATTCCCT